AACAATAATAAAATAAAGTTCATGACAATTACTCAGTTATATAAAAAACAAAATGGTTACTAAATCATATAGAAAATCCCAATGCGATTAATCTGAATAGAAATCCATCATCATCCATTGCAAAGCACTTATTAATGTCAGGTCACAAAATCAATATTAATGACTGTTTCACAATTATTTCACATAACTCTAATTCAAAGTTACTGAAGGTGGTGGAAGCACTTTGGATTAATCACATATTTCCTAAACTATATAGTACTCATAGAAAATTGCGAAATGGTCGCGCTATGTCGTGAATTGGCAGAAGTTAGAATTCAACAACCATTGGATCGGGTCCCAGTGGCTCAACGGTCTACAAGCTCGCCTTGTAACCAGAAGGTCCTGGGTTCGAACCCCGGTGGGTGCGTACTGATGAGGAGCCCCAAACTAGGATGAAACAGCTGTCCAGTACTCCAGGTTTTCCAGTGGTCTCTAACTGATGTCAGCTCATGATGAATCCCAATAATAAATCCCTACAAACAATAAATATGTGTACAAAAAACAATAGACTTCAACCTTCTCGCCTACCATGGACTACTTGACCTATTTAAATATGATTGGTCATTAGTATGTACTTTTGTTTTATATAACTGAGTAATTATCATGCATTTTATTTTATTATTATTGTAAACCATGTTAGTTGTAAAGCGGTTGTAAAGAAACTACGAAATGATATCATCTCGCGAAATTTGTCTTCTAAATGCCTTATTCAAATTTATCAAAGGGACTAATTGTTTTAACATGATAAAGTTTTTTTCCATGTAGTCGGAAATTTCTTGATGCTGTCAGTAATAGTTTATCCTTAACCCACGAGAACACAATCTACTCTGGGTGTATCTCAATCATAAATTGCAGCTTAGATTAAAAGTTGACCACTGTATTCTAGAGAGAAAAACTGGGTTTTAAGCTTGCAGTCAAATTGAAACCGAAGATAATTCACTTACTTGTTTCTAATTCTGAGTGAACTTTTAATGTGTTCACTATTCTGTCTGTTTAGAACAACATGGTACACCTGATACTATACTTGATTGAGTCGCAGTTGTATGCATGTAAACCTGATGAAGTATAATACCTTGTCATTATTCATTTTTTTATGTCATAGAGATCTTTGGATAATTCACTGTTAAATTATCATTCCTAAAATATCTAAATCGAAGAAGTCGAAATTATCGATACCTTGAAATTGATGTCATAATCTTTTTTCAAATAGTTAGTATGACTTTATCCTGGGGAATGTTACTTGAAGTTTCATTGTCATAGTCGGCTGCAAATATTCAGGGTTCTATTATTATAAAAGAGGTCACTTCTTTCACTTACTTGGGTGGTATTGTCTTAAATACAGGCGAAACAGATGAAGATGTTTTGGCCAGAATCGAAAAGACGGGGCTGACCTTCTTCACTCTGAAAAACCTACTGAACTCAGTTAGCATAAAGAACGAAATCAGGATTCTCGATGCCAAAGTTAAGTGGTTTTTCCTACATGGGTCAGAAACTTGACGCTCCAATTAAGGTGTTCACAACAGGCTTCAGACTTTTATCAGCATCTGCTTTCTCTCCTTAATGAGGATCAGGTGGCAGGCTAGAAAAAACTAAAAACAAGAAACTGTGAGAACGAACCAATCCAGAACCTATTGTTCGATATATATATATATGTATCAGAAACTGGAGTTGGACTGAACACCTACTGAGAAGACCGTTAAGTGACATAGCACACCAGGTCATTGCTCGAATGGAACTCGGGTGGGAGACGATAAGTAAGGCGTCTGATAGTGATGTGGAGGAGGTCGCGCAAGCAAAAGGATCAGAGGCTATAGGTAATCGCCGAACCAGCTATAGAGGACCACAGAGAATAGGAAAAAGCAGGGATTCGCTGCCAAATCCTTATCTTTGACTCGGAATCCAAGGGAAAAAATTATCAATAATAATTATTATTATTATATAAAGAGACTATTCTGTGAATGGTCAGAATCTATAGAAACTATAATAATACACCAAACGGCAACATATTATCTAGTGTGGAGTCGTCGAATTTCCCGCCTATCATCTCTATTCATTTTACTGTATTTTACAGTTTACAGTTTACAATTTATGTAGGATAGTAAGCTATATGCCTGTGCTAATCCTTTCGATTTGTTGCACACAGGAGGTCCAATCTCGCCTTGAATGAATCAACGGATGGCGCTGATACGACGTGTTCCCATAGGGAGTTCCAGTGGTTCACAGTTCAATGCGAAAATCGGATCTCTAGACGCAGACGATTCGACCGTGGTTTTTGAACCTTGAGGTGATGTCCTCGCGATTGGTTGGTGCTAGAAGGAAGAAATAAATTAGATAAATTAGCTCCAAAATCATTTCTTAGGATACGGTATGCTAGTATTAGGTCACCCCTAAGTCGTCTGTATGACAGTGAAAATAAACCCAGTCGATTTAACCTCTCCTCATATGAGAGGGTTGAGAAACCCTTTATTAGCTTAGTTACTACTCTTTGCACCCTTTCTAATAAGTCTATTTCGTATTTGAAACACGGGCTCACTGCCTGGATCCCATATTCCAAATGAGGTCTGATATAAGTCGGATATAATATACGAAATATTTGAGCGTCAAAAATCGCAAAAGCCTTGCGTATGGCTTCCCTTAGTGGCTGCAGCTCTACAGTTTGTTGCTGTTTTCAAGTCATGCTGCACAACCACTCCCAAGTCCTTGTACTCAGTGACCACTGGGAGAGTAATTGTGCACGTGATTATGAGATACATGCATAACTACACTCTTGCTTAAGTTAATCTCCAAGGTTCAGTGCATACACCAATCACTTAACAAGTTTAAATCTTCCTGCAAAGCAAGTTGATCACTGTCATCGTGTAAAGCCCTCCATATCTTGATGTCATCAGCAAACAGTAAGCAGGATGACCTAACTATCGATGGAATCTCATTAACATAAATCAGGAAAAGAATTGGGCCTAGAATTGTACCCTGAGGAACGCCACTCTTAACCGATTCCCATGTTGATAAAACCCCGTTAACTCGTACTCTCTGTCCTTTAGAAAGTCTTGAATCCAGTCGGCAACCACTTTATTGATTCCCATACTACCTAACTTTACTAGAAGACCTGAATGAGAAACCCTGTCAAACGCCTTGCTAAGGTCGATGAATATGGCATCCACCGGTATATTAGCATCAGCTGAGCTTGCCCAACTTTCTCTGGCCAAAAGAAGGTTGGTCAAGCAAGAATGACCTGCTCTAAAACCATGCTGTTCCACAGCGAAAAGTTTGTTCCCTTCAATGAACTGAATGATAGCATCACGAATTATTCTTTCTAGTAGTTTAACAACAATACTGGTCAAACTAACAGGACGATAGTTCTGAACTAAGTTTCTAGATCCGGTTTTGAAGACCGGACTAATGATGGCATCTTTCCAGTCTCTTGGACATTTAGACTGGTCCAAAGACATATTGAAGATTACCAACAATGGCTCGGCTATGTTTTCAGCCAATGCTGTTAATATACGTGGGTGGAGTTCATCAGGGCCACTGGACTTACCAGGATTGAGCCTTAGAAGCCACTTTAGGACAGTATCCTTTCCAATGTATAAGGGTGCCATTTTCAAGTTACCTTCTGGAAAAGTTACAAAGCTGGTATCAATATTATCAGAGAATACTTGACTAAAGTGCTGAGGACGGCATCGTTTTATTGGTGACATCACCATGGTGCCTTTATTTATTATTGCTATAGATGCACTATGTTCTGTGTTTTCATAACAGGAAAGTTATGAAAATTTTAACACATTGGATGAAGGTAAAATATCAGACTGTACTGTAACCTCACCTCCTGTGTGCGGTTCAGCTCTGTAAGAGATTTTAGAAACACAAGTTATGTAAAAAAAGATGTAACAACCTTATTCAGGCACTAATCACGCTAACCAGCTTAAATATTATTTACACAGATTAACAATTTATAAGGCACAAAAGTCAACCAATAGTCTCCATTCCCAACATCCAATACAAAACTTGAATCGCTTTATCCAACCATGAATTTTAGTGGAAAATGAGAAAGAAAAAGAAGAAGAAGCAGCAACTAGGCATTTAAACAAGTAATTTTAAGATTATTACAGATAAAATTATTATTATATTACATCATTATTATTATATTATTACTTATATCAAAATTATTATTATTTATCAGACAGGATAACACAATCAAGCCTTATTCAACTTCAGGATCGGTATAAACACTTAGAATTAAAAAGGCAAATTTAATCGAGACAAGAAAGAAGTTAGCGGAAGTGACTTCACACATTGCAATTTTCTACTTTCTTTTTTCCCTCATCTCAGTCAATGAAATACCTGAAGTCAAGATGTGTAATCGGTAAAGCCTCGCTTGAAGAAATCTGGACAATAGTATCTAGTGGAAATAATGTAAAATAAAAGCTCCGCCTGTTCATACCATCAAACTATATACACATATTATATATGTGTCTTTTCTCCTTCCTGAACAAAATCCCAGCGTACTGTTTATTTCTTTTTGCCTGTTAAGAGAAGGCAATAGAGAATAGAGAAACAGGGAACAAAGAATGCAACAAATAAAAAATGCCGAGAAAAAGTTTATAAACAAAAAATAGAAAACACACGCACATACACACAACTAGACAGACAGGTAATAAATAGATGAATGTAGAGAGATTTTTAAAGTTACCAATACTACAAAAATGAAAGCGTGCAAAACCCGTAAAAAAAACGATTCTTATGAAATAAATATTTCTACACGTTGATGAGTACTTTTCAGGTTTTATCAGCTACAGAAGCCCTATGTTGTCTTGGTCTGTTTTAGCCTTCAGTCGTTGGATTATTGTTATCATTATCATTATTATCAATAATACTTTGGAAGAATGAAATTTTTAACGGATTACTATTATTATTATCAAATGAATTAGGATATTACATTCAGGTTTTGAAGAATTCAAATTTCAATCGTTTTCAAAACAGGCGCGAAAAGAATATATACATACTTTAAAACACTACGTGGATATATATTATGTAAATGGAAATATTATTATTATCGTCACTATTATTATTATTATCATCACACCATGGAAACCATATTCATAGTAGAAAATTATCCCCTGGAATTAATACTCACATTTACTTAATGTGGAATGTTAGCAAGGCATTTGGATAGTTATAATAATAATATTAATAATAGCAAAATTACTCAGTAATGAATATGAAAAGTACAATGTCAGAGTACGGTATACAGTCACCAGAATCAGAGAAGACGACAGATTCAAATAATATTTCAGAAGCTGAAGACTATGAAAGGTGAGAAAGATTTTCTTTATTTTTTTGATAATGTTAGATTCACTTAGTCTAATTCTGTCTTAAAAATAATTATCGGTAGAATAAACACCATGGAAACTTTTGATGAATGTGCTTTATTCGGACTGAATACTTTATATTTGAACATTACATTAATTAGGAATTGTGTTATGAATTCTCCTTAGCTCTTTAACAAGAAACACTTCACTAACACAGTTTTATTATCTGATATTTGCAAATATAAACAGTCTTATTTATGAAAATGAGTATATCGAAATTTTCATGAGGCTAGTTCCACTTGAATTAAATTTTTTTGCATAGATAATCAACGAGAAAAGAATAATTGAAAATCAGTACATCTGCTTATTGTTCGTTGTGAACCCTTTTGACCAGTCTAGTAGTCGTCGAAAGACGGTGAAACAGGTATCCGACTGGCCGCCGTTTTCAGGGGTTCTTACCTTTAACATTAACTTATTTATTGCAAATCGAATAACCCACTATAGTAATATACCTTTGTTTAAATCGACTACACACGTAATACAACCCCGTGCCAATAGTTATTTCAAAAGTTATGACCCGTTTTGTTCATTTCTTGAGTTCTGAGTGAAACATACGACTTCAAGCAACTTGTTTGAAGTTGAAATAACATTGGTATTGTTTTATCTGTGAGATTGCTAGCCTGATGCCCACAGTCACCTATTTTACAGAGTTACTATTGCAAAGTCCAGTTGTTCCATCATTTTTAAGTTCAGTAATTCCCTTTATGCTAGTAAGTTTACTAAACGTTAGGATCATTTAAGACTGAATAGCAGTTATAAATCTGTAAACATAGATCAGGATAAAACACCGTGTCAGCGCAGAATAATGCGTAGTAATAACCTGGTCATCTCCTCTAGTTTAAATTTAACAAAAGTGGATCATGTACAGTCTGGAATCAGTTTAAAATTGCAAACCCCGATGACCGAATCAGAATCACGCGCATGTTTGGTAAATATTCTAAGACTTATCCACAGATGCATTCTGACAGCTATAGGACAACCAACATTTCTGGTTGTTTTCTTTGGTATAGGATGTGTACTTCAGCTTGCATAAAGACGAAAAGTAAAAGACGTAGTCTCTGAAACTCTGTGAAACTCTGAAGACATTACCAGATTAACACACTAAAATATCTACAGGTCTACTTTAGTACTGATAAACTTGACCACCCTTTCAACCAGTCTATTGGAAAATCTATTGCTTGTTATTACTTCATCATTCAGTCTAAAATCCAAGCTGACATTAAATTCATTAGTTGGAAATAAAGAAGTGCGAAGTGAATTTTTATTATGATTTTATTATGGAAATAAGAAATATTAAGATAAGATGTGACTTTCTAGGGCTGTAAATGTTACCAAGTGACAAAAAACACGGTGTGCAACATGATTAGATGGAAATTGTGTATAGCAATCAGCAGTAGAGCCTACCAGCAAGGTATAAGTGCTGCAACTGACTTCACTGGTCTGCACCTTACCGTATCAATCAGTTGTGCTGTTACAATGAACAAAGTTCATTCAGCTAAGACAACTTGGATGATTAAACCCGATTCCATTATGGCGAACAGCTCTTTATGTATCTGTTATTCATATCAGTTTGATATGAAATTTTTTCCTGATTTACAAAAAAAACGGTCATATAGTCCAAAGTGACATGTAGAATATAAAATGCTAAACTGTTATCCAAAATTAAAGAATTCAGGAGTTTTGATATTCATCTAGCAAAAATATATCCCATAATAGAAGAACCATAATGATAAAACAATCGCTCACCGAGGCATTTTTATTGACATTTTCGCAGGTGTATTTTGTTGGAATTATTATCATAACTTTCCCACGCTTTATTAGTCCTGTAATATATATATACACCTTTAAAGTAATCATTGACATTAAACCGGTATTCAAATGAAAACAAAATACCGCTAGTACATAGTTTTGGTGTGACTCTTATGCTATTTTATGTTTACACTGAATATAAACGGAACGCATGTTTAAACATGAGAGGCTTGAATTTCAATAGTTCAGCATGGGATATGTGTTCATTGAAAAAATCTATGCAGCATTATGCGCGTTTGTTTATATAAGAAAATTAGGAGTTTCATATTATTAGTTGTTTTTAAGTCAATTTTGTTTTTCCCACGAATTTATTGGACTGAAATGTTGACATGTCGGCCCCTAATCCAGATGCTTCCAAGATGACTAAGGATTAACTTGCAAACAATATGGTGGATGGTGACTCACAGTAGAATATGAAGTATGCTAGTCACCATCCACTGAACCACCTCAAGACAATCCTAAGACATGGTCAAAGCACCCATACTAGGAGTCGATATGTCATCACAGAGGCTGATATTTCTGTCTAGTCAATCGAGGGGAAAATCGAGATTGAATTAGAACCAATTAATTACTAATGTCCATCGCACAAGAGATGGCTCTTGTGACCCAAGTGGTTTAGTGGATAACGTTTTACCATTTGAAATGATGGGTACTGGGTCGAAGTCTCAGTGTGTACACCATCACTAACTTGGGATAACGAATGCATTCAAATGATGAGTCTAAAATGGGGAAGAAATTCATCCTGATTCCACTGTTGACCACCATCCATCAAATCAGTGCTACTATACGAATCGGAGACTTGGTGCCGCGTCAGGAAGGCCACTTCGTGACACACACCTTCATCAACAGCTGTCTTCGCTTAATACTACTCAAGATCAGATGGTTGACCAGAAAAGATCAGCAACTAAGATCCCTGAGAACGAATCAACCTAGCAGGAACCACCTGTGCAACGAATATGCAAGAAGAAATGGAGGTAGATTAGCCATACTCTGAGACAACAAACCATCAAGTGAGTGACATCACACGCCAGACCATCGCTTGAGCGGAACTCGAATGGGAAGCGACGAGTTGGTCGTCAGTACGAGGGTGAGGTGAAATGGAGGAGGTGATGTGGCGAGGAGATAAAAGCATGTGGGCAGACGTGCTGCTGAAGCCCTATGTTCCTCTCTAAATTAAGGGAAACAAAATATATATTATTTATATTCAAATCAGTTGAAGCTTCTTACTATTGCTTACAGTTTCAAATCTTTTCTGGTTCTTTCAACAAATTTATAAAAACATTGTTTTACTTATCGACTGTGCATAATTTATTAATTTCATGAAAACTGAAGTGGACGTTCTTTTAATACAGCCATGGAATAACTTGTTTAAATATTTACTTCGAATAATGTTTATAAGTACGTTGAATGTATCTTCCCAGTAATTGTTGTTTATGAATTCTGTTTACATTCACTTCAATTTGTCTGACTTTTGTAAGTTGTTTTTAATAAAATATGCACGTGTCACGCAAAATTGCCTAAATAGTTTGTATATCTTTTCATCAATAGACCCCATCAAGACATTAATAATGTCAACGAAACACGTGATTCAGTGAAGAGGCTGTTTTTGGACAATTTATTTCTACTATCTGCAAAACCACATTTATATATACAATTCTTTTTATATGGAAGAGGCTAGCAACAAAAGTGTTGAGTTGTCACTGGAAGTGTGCATTGCTCCCGTTTCTACATCTGAATGGCCAAAGCTTCAGCAATGCAAAGGAGACGAAATCATATTGCCTTCAGCAGGTTACTCTTCACTTTGTAGATTACTTAAAAGGAGGCGCTTGTTGAGAGAGAATAAACAGTGTTGACAAGGTTTTCGATTATCGCACTCCTTACAGAGCCAATACCACCTTCTTATAATCATGCGGGATACTGTTCTTGTTCCATTCAGTTACCAAAACGGGGGCTATGCATACAAAAAAAATTATTCAACCATACCTACTATCATGGTAATAACCGTGTTGATTTCGACTAACTTGGTTTTTGCTTGTTTGTCTTTCTAACCTCTTCCTTATAACTCTTGTATTTCTTTAGCACTCTTACATCCATTCGTTCACAATAATCTTAACACTCTTTCCGTTACTCAGTGAGTACCACTCGATAACCAAGTACAGCTGTCGAAGTGTCATGCAGACTGCCTTGAAAACCACTAGGCTTAAATTAACCTGAATATAAGAGTGTTATCTTGACCAAAAATCTTACATTTCGTGTACAAACATTATAAGAGCGAAACACTTTGTCAGAGCATCACGCGGACACTTTTTCATGAATTACCTCTTCAAGTGCTTTTAAGTTCTGTGTGTGAGTTTTACTGATATCGTATACAGTGAGGAACAGCCTATAGCACTTTTATCAGAGATATTTTTGTGAAAATTCGAGTACATTTGAGTATATTTTGGTACGATTGCGAGTGGTCAAATGGAAAACTGACGAATACTACACATTTCACGACCTCACATCTTTGAGATTTGAAAGCATTTATTTGCAGGCTAATGAACAAAGATGAAGAGAAATTCACTGAGTTTTTTCTTTCATTATCGAGAGGTCATTGCTACTTTTCATTTCATCAGCAATCTCTATCTAGGCATTTATTATTATTATTGTTCCCTTGAGTTCCTAGTGGAACATAGGGCTTCAACTACACGTCTCCACTTGCTTCGTCTTGCTACTTTTCACCTGCATCCATGTTAGTCCATACTGTTTCAACTCCTCTTCACACGATCTCCTCCATGTCACTCTTGGACGTCCCACTCGCCGCTTCCCTTTCGGTTTCCACTCAACGGCCTGAGGCGCGATGTCACCCAATGGCCTCCTCAGCGAGTGTCCAATCCATCTTCACTTTGTCCTGCATATTTGTTGAGCGATTGGTTCTTGTTTTGTTTGTTCCCATAGTTTCTTGTTGGTGATTCTTTCTGGCCATCTGATCTTCAGTATACAGCGAAGACAGTTGTTGACAAAGGTCTGCAACAGGCTGTTGGAAATATTCTTTGTGACCCGCCAAGTTTCTGATCCGTTTAGAAGAACTGACTGACTTGACGTTTGTATTGAAAATCCGAATTTTGTTGTTGATGCTGAGTGACGAAGATTTCC